CAGTTCTTGCATGCATAAATAAATAAATATTTAAAAAAAAGAAAGAAAGAAACCACAGATTGAGTGCTCTTAAATAGCCAGCCCATCAGGACTCAAAACCATGCCAGTGTCTCATCATCATATTTCACCTGTAATACCTGTATTGTTGGGTAAATTTCTCTCCTCTCAAGGTTTCCAAGAAGTACTGGGGTTCCTGGGCTTGCCAAGTGGTGATTTCTCACCTTCCTGACAGGCCAGCTATACCGTTAAGGTGGTACAAGGCTATTTCCTTGTTGGCTCTAACGTCAATCTGGTTCCTGAAAACTTAACCTAGCAGACAAAGCCTTGCTAAAACACCGTATTTCCAATTGTCTGTTATAGAAAGGGAAAAAAGAATCTTACTGGATCTATGGAAACCAACATCTTGCCATGAGAAATCAACTCACAGTGAGTACAGATGGAGAAGTGAAGCAGTCCAGGGTCACAAGAAGGGAAATGGAAAAAGGTAGGAATTTGGCAGGAGGAAGTGGGGTCTTGAGAGCTGCACTGGGGAAGCAAGTCTCAACAGCCCACCAGACAACCCACTAGTCCTTGGGGCTGGCATGAGGTGGATCTATAGTGAATTTTTTTTTTAAAGATTTATTTATTTATGCATACAAGAGCTGGGGTATAGGCCAGGGATGCGGGGGTGGGGGTGGGGGTGAGAGGATTTACCAGAGACAGAGTGGGGAACAGAACAGGCAGACTGACCGAAAATATACTGCTGAGGGGGGCAGTAGGTGAGACAGGAGAGGGCTTCCTCACCATGTGAATTGCTCCTTGGCTGGCCGGAGATCGAACTCGTGCAGCAGAGGCTGCGGATTGCTTCATAGTGCGGTGCTTAACCTCTTGCGCCACCAGGGAGGCCCTATAGTGAGTATTTTTTAACTCCAGAATTTGCTCTACAGTATAATCCAATCAAATTCTGTCTCCTTTGAAGGAAGTTTCAAACATCAGTATTTGATATTTATTTTCTCCCCAGAAGGGCTTTCTTAAATCTCCTATTCTAAAAATCTCATGAAAACTAGGCAACCTACAGTTTATCCTGTATCTTGAATGTTCTACCCGTTGCCTTTCACCACAATTTCCATTGCTCTTGAGAGCAAGTATAGGGGTCAACTTCACCATCTATTGCAAATGAAGATAGATTTGGTGAAAAGATTAGTAGCTATTATTAGGAGGGCACTGGAGGCAGGAATAGAGACAAAGGCAAGCTCTTCTTTACTGACTTCTGGTTCTAAGAGATGAATACTTGATGAAGGGGTGGTGGCATCTGCCTGAGGTCACCTGGTCAAGCCCTTCCTGGCCATCACTTTACCAGGAGGAGCAAATGTTACCTCAACCCCAAAGATTGGGTCTTTTGGTCTCTAGGGAAAGAGTTCACCACAGAGCACTAGCTGTAGTTGAACCAGGCAAGGCTTTATTAGAGAGACTCATGCATGAGGGAGCCAGTTTGGGAAAGTAGAATATAACCTGGCTCCCTGAAGACAATTAAGAAGAGTTAGGTAAGTCCATGAGGCGGGGTGGAAGAAAGCAGTGCCATTGCTTGTTCTGAGTTGGGCTATGCCTGAGCATGGGCAGATGGGTTACACTCCAACAGCACATGTGGGCTCTGTTTTCTCCCTCCATGAAATTATGAGGTAATCATTAATCAGGATCTTACGCCCTATCCATCATGGTGCCGCATGGCCAGTGTGGTGGGCTGAATTGCTTGGACAGGGCTGCCAGTCCATGATTTAGACCACCTGTTCAAACAGGACTAGGGCAACTCATCCTGTTGGCTTGTAATTTCTTTTACCTAGGCTCAGTGTGCTGTGTTCAAGGTAGAACTATTCCTTGAGTGTCAAAGGCACAGAAGAGAAATTTTCTCTCTCAGCTGTAGTCACCTGACCTGAGACTGCTTCAGAACACATAGCTAGAATCAAAATGAGAGATGCTGATCTCCTCCCAGGAAAAGCTTTCTCACTGGGAGCTGGGGGTGTGGGAGTGGAGAGAGAACCTTTTGTTCTTCATTGTAGCAATGGAGTGGAGTTTCTGTCTCACTGATCTGGAAGTAGAGTGGTAGGGAGTGATCTTAATTCGAATAACACAGATTTGCCTTTGTTACAGAATCTTTCAAGAACAAATATTTCTTCAGTTGCTACTTGTTCATATGTTACAGGTGTTGCAATGTGTTGGTAAGCTCTTGTCTCCTGCCATGAAAATTGAGGCCATGAACAGTGAGGTTTAACACTAGTTTATTCAGAGAGGAAAGCAGGAAAGCTCCCTAAAGTAACAGGGAGAGGGCACCCAAATCAGTACCCCTGAAATGCTCATTTCTAGGATCTTTTACCAAATATAGTCTGCTAAGGGGCCTCTGTCTGTTGAATATACATGCGGCAGTGTGGGCCTCAACCCAAAAGTGGTTGGATCTTTTGCCTTCTAGGGAAAGAATTCACCAGAGCACACTGGGTGTAGATCAACCAACTATGGCTTTACTGGAGACTCATGCATGAAAGACTAGTTCCAGAAAGGAGAATTAATTTTGTCCAACAGGCTTCTTTTCCTTATGCATAACACTTGAGTGAAATTCCAGATCTGAGGGGAACAAATAAATCACACTACAGACCTATGGGCTAGTCTTTTATGTTTTTTCAGAACCAAATGCACTTAATTCTGCTCCCATAACTCCCAGAAAATGACTATGACAACTAGCTCCCTAGAATCTTCATGGCCATCTTCTTCCCTAAAAAAAAAAAAAAAAAAAATCTATTTTAAATGCCTATAAATCTATTTCTTACTTTATCTTTATCAGAAATTATTAAGGAGACCATTCCAGTAACCAAGTCTTTAAATGAAAGGGTTGAAACAAGCCAAATAAAGTTCTTAACAATGGTATCTCATTGAAAGTATTTGTGCTTTTAGTAGAACACAAGATTTGGTGCTGACACATGAACTTTTTTGTTTAAGTTGAATGTCTTTTAGATAAATTACAGGGTGCTACTACTTTCCTTTTTTAGCATTTATAAATATTAGATAATGGTTCCTTAAAGAACTTGAGCCTTATTAATGTATTTAATTTGCCTCTTAGTGGCAAGAACCAGGTCTCTACAATCTTAAATGCCACCATACTACTAATGTTCTATAAATAATCATTTAACAAAAACAGCAAGGAATAGAAAACTAATGAAAGCAAAACTGAAGATGATGCCTATACTTCTTTGTTACATAATAAGTTGAAAAATTAACATAATGCCACTGACATAGTTCTGCAAATCTTTTATGATGTTGCTTAGGACAAGTCTAACAGCAAAAATGTGGAGGGATTATCAAATGCATTAATGGGCTCCTTTAAAAATCTTAACTTAAAATAATGAGTCATTGGCCCAAATAAAACATAAAAGCATCTCCTCAGTTACACAAAAAACATTTCCTCACAACTAAAAGTCTCTACTTCGAACCCTGAACCAATCAGCAAACAACTCTGGTTTATTCACCTTCTAACTGGTTCCCCATTTCACCTTAAGATCATCCAACCCAATTTCTTCTTAATTTTCTAAGATTGAGATACTCCCAAGCTTTGCCTATGGTTTGTTATCCTTTGCTACACCAGACTAAATAAATGTGTTTTTGCAGGAAATACGGCATGTCTCTAAATCTGTTGGTAAATTCAAAGGATTTTTTTTTGAAGGAACACATAATCCTACTATCCAGAGAAAACTATTAGTATTTTGTAGTTTTCTATTTCAGGCATGATTTGCTAGCTGGTTTAACGTGGTTCTTATTGTACTTTATAAACCCTGTATTTCTGAAAAATGTACTTTTGGAAATTTTACCTAAACATTTTCATTAGAAGTAAAACATTTGTAATGTAGAGTATATGCAAAGTTTAACAATTATATTCCCTAGTCATTAGACAGTTAGATGTTTTCTAATTTTTGTTAGTAACAAATCTGTGATAAACAATAATTTGCATAAAGCTTTTCCTAAAGCTTACATTAGGTTTACAGGGTAAATGCTTACAATGACAACAACTGCATTAATTGAAGGGTGTAAATATTAAGGGCTCTAGTAACAATTTGCTTATTTGCAACTGTTGATGTGTTTAAAAAAAAAAAAAACCTGGTATTTTGCAAGTCATTAAAAGACAAAGGCATTAAAATACATAGCTGAACTTGAGTGAACTACTTTAGGTACTGCTTTTTGAGTGTATACATGGAAAAAAAGGTCACCTAGTTAAACAAGGGAATATCTGAGAACATCTTTTAAAAGCACATCTTAATATCACAGTAGCTGAGGGCTTAAGAGAGTGAAGTCAGCTTTCTGTTGGACCCTGGTTACTAACGGACTCTAGTTTCTCCAGGTCAGTCTTCAGAGTGGAACTTTGTTCCTCTATCCTCTTCCTCAGATGTATTAATAAATATTGTGGCTGTCACACTGAAGATGGGGAAGAGGCTGGGAGAGAGGAAGCCTCATCTTTCTCCCCTAATGTCAAAATTCAGCTTAATTTCCATATTCCCGGCTCTCCGGAGGGGGGAAAAAAAGGAAGAAAAAGTAGTCCATCAGCGGCATTTGGGACTAAGAAGCAATCAGTGAGTTTCCCTTCCACAACCAGAGCATACCCAACTCTAAACGCTCCTCCACACCCCACCCTTCCCCCATTAAAATAACACCTATTCCGCTCCAGCTCCCGGCAGCCCCAAGAACGGCCTGCGCCATACCTTGGGCTTCTTCCCCACCCACTCTTTTCTCCCCCTGCGGTGGGCGGGCCAGAGGCGGGTAGAACTACAAATCCCAGCATCCCACGCGGCGGGAAAAAAGGAAGGCTCGGCCTTAGCGAAAGAACTCTGGGGGCCAGCGGGCCAGAGGGAGCAGCTCCTCCTTTTGAAGCGGATTTACACCTCTTTCCGCTGGCGGCGTCGGCGGCGTCCGCGCTCACGCAGGGGCGGGTCACGGCGGAGCGAAGCGGTGCTGGGCGGGAAGGGAAGTCGTGGCGGGGGTGGCGGCCGTGGCCGTGGTGGTGGCGGCGGACAGCAGCGACGGCGGCGTCGGGGCAGCGCGCGCGGTGGTGCCGTCAGTGAGGCCGTCGGAGAAATGGGAGAGCCGGGGTCGGAGGTGAGTAGCGGAGCGTTAGCCCGCGGCCTTCTCGGCGGAGCCCCGAAGGGTTTTGTGGGCGCTGGGGTCTGAGGCCTGGTGCTTTGGCCGCCGCGGCGCGATGATTCCCCTCGGCGTGGGCCGAGCCCGGCTTTCGGGCCTGCTGCGTGGCCGAGCGAGGGCCCAGCAGCAACAATGGCCGCCCCGCCGGCCCCAGCCCCCCGCACTGGGGCTCCTCGTTGCCGCTGCTCTGCCAGAGGGAGCGACATCTTGAGACGTGATTGTTGTGGGTTCTGAGCCTGCCTCCCTCCTGCTTGGGTGGCTGGCGGGGGACTCGAGGGGCCGGGAAGGGGGAGCGCGCGCCCGGCGCCCGCGTCCGCAGAGGCGCAACCCGGCTCCTTGGCGTTGCTTGCGCGCTCGTTGGCGTGGAATTGGGCACCGTTAGGGCTCCTGAAGCGCTTTCATTGTTCGTTGTAATGGTTCCTTCTGGAAAGATCTGTTTCCCAAGTATGTGGCCGTATAGATGAGCGTGTTTTGGCTTGTTTTTATAGATAATAGAATCTGTCCCTCCAGCTGGACCCGAGGCACCCGAGGCAACATCGGAAGAAAATGAAGATGACATTCAGTTTGTCAGTGTAAGTAGCAACGCTATTCCAGTTTTTCCAAGCGTCAGAGACTATGCGTGGTAAGCCATTATGGGACTAGACCTCACCTGCGCTTTCATCATTCAGCCCAGAGGTATGAGTGTCTGGGAGGTTCTAGACACCGGGGTTAGGGGTGGGGTCAGAGGAGCCGTTACAAGAGTGCTTTAACGTGCATGTTGCACTCTTGTTCTGCCTTCCTTGGGAGCCTTTTTTTTTTTTTTTTTTTTTAAAGATTTATTTTTATACAAGAACTGGGATACAGGTCAGAGGCACGGGAGGGTGAGAGGATTCACCAGAGACAGAGTGGGGGGCAGAACAGGCAGAAGGACTGAAATACACTGCTGAGGGGAGCAGGCGAGGCAGGAGAAGTGTGCCACGCTATGTGGGCATCTCCCTGGCAGGCCTGGAATTGAATCCATGCTGCAGCGGCCCAGGACAGCTTCACAGCGCAGCGCTCAACCCACTGCGCCACCAGAGAGCACCCTTGGGAGTCGTTTTATACTTAATCCACCCAGTGGTTCTGTTCTCTTAAGATTGTGTTTTCAGGGCCTCCCCGGTGGTGCAGCGGTTGAGCGCTGGGTTGCGAAGCTGCCCGCAGCCTCTGCAGCGACGGTTCAATCCCTGGCCGTCGGGCGAGGGTCCCACATGGCGCACAGACCTCTCCTGCCTTCCGCTGCTCCCCTCAGCAGTGTACTTCGTCAGTGTGCCTGCTCTGTTCCCTGCTCTGGTGAATTCTCTCACCCTTCTGTGCTTCTGACTGTACCCACTGCTTGTATAAATAAATAAATCTTAAAAAAAAAAAAAGAAATAAAACGTTACAAAATAAAAATTAAAAAAAAAAAAGATTGTGTTTTCAAATGGGACCAGGGTAGCTACCAGGGTAGCTTCCCCAAAATGACACACAGGCAAAGAAGGAGGCAGGGTAAGAAGGAGATTGAAGACAGTAAGTGTTGCAAAACTTGAAATGTGAGCATTATGTACATGAAGGCAAGTAGCTGGAGACCAGTAATCTCTGAGATCATCATGTTACAGCATAATACAATTGATGCTCATAATGAGTATCCCTGTATCACCAAGGACATTCTGTGTTTTTCTGAATTTATTCTTTTTGGATAGTAGTTTTCAAGCATTAGGAAACATAAGTGTGCAGATTCCTGGACCTCACTCCAGATCTGCTCAATCAGAATTTTCAGTGTGGCACCTCAGAATCTTCATTTTGGCACACATTCAGGGACATGCAAATCTATGAACATGCTTTGTAAAAAAAACTGGTTTAGTTAAAAAAAAAAAAAGTTATGGCATCATTTCGGATCATTTTCTTAGTATTTTAATATGCCTGGAAAATACTTAAAGCTACTGTATTTGAATACTCTAGGTAGTTGGAATTTGGTCTAAGAATTGTACTTTTTTTAAAAAATGGTATTCATTGATGTGCATTTGTGATATTGGACAACTATTTAAAACTTAATTAAACAAATCCTCTGTGTACCCCAGCTCTAGGGTCATTGTGCTGATCTATTGTTGTATTGTGTTTTATTGGGTTTCTTTAGCAGTTTCACCAAATCATTTTCTTTGCTATTACCAGTTCATGTGGTACTTTGTCCTTTACATTTAAATTCTTAAAGGATTTGGGGGTGGTGAGTAGTGTAATTATACCCTGCCTCTCCTATACTGTGGATTGAAGCATGTTTGGTAACAGCATGAGTCTTCAGGACATATATTTCAGGTTCTTTGTGAATGAAGAATGTTTATCTTAATATTTTCTGCAAATAAAGTGAGAAGGACTCACTTCTTCATGAACTGTGGGCCTTTGAGAATTACAGATAAAATCTACCAAACTAAGATTTTTAAAGTATCTTTTTTGTACTCTCTAATGAAGAATTATATTGTAGATTGTGAATAATATTAACTCATTTTAAGGTGAAATCTAAAAATACTCTAAATTTTGCTTTATATGTACAGCACCTTATATGTGTGCATCAAGGATAAGAAATAATGCTATCAATGTATGATGCATTTAGTTTGATACTATATCTTACATTTATGCCTTTTTCTAAACATAAGTTTAAATGTTTGATACTTCAATGAATTATATGTATTCTAGTTTACCTGTAGTACTAGAAGAAACCTATTGAAAACATTACCTTTACCTTTAATGGTAACACTTAAACAATTAATGGTACCTTTAAAATTCTATTAAAAAAATAGAATCTGCTGCTACTTTCTGTAACCTAATCTTACATTTAACTCTTCCAGGTAATTCTTATCCAATAAAGATAGTAAATAATGATCTGTTTAAAATTTCTTGGGATTATTAAAAAAAAGCATTATGTGTGCCACTTCTTGATTTATTATAGTTTGGGTTTCTTTCTTTCTTTAATTTTCCCATCTTTAATACACATGGTGGCACAGCAGTCTTTCTGTGGGTTGCAAAATGTAGAGTCTGAAATTAAATATAGCTTGTTGAAGGGAAGGATTTATATAAATGTGGAGGTGCAAAAATGAGCCCTTTCATTTAAATTTTATTGAATTATAAAATTTATAGAGAAGTGTATAAATGACAAGTGTACTGTTTGAATTTGTGAAATCAGTATACCTGTATATAAACCATTCACTGAACAGATTGTTAAAACAAAAACTTCATTTAGGTCTTTTATTACTGTTTTCTGTTTAGTAATATGATTCTTTTTTCAGCCACCATCTTTTTTCTTGGAAGCTGGAGATATTTTAGTTAATTTATCCCCAAACAGAGAACTGGTAAGATGCTCTAACTAGAGGGTACAGAAACAGCTGAGTCAACCTATCATTTTGATAACAGCAGAGATTTAGGTTTCAGCCAAGAAGATTGGCATAATGTAGAATTATTGAATATGTGGAAATAGTGAAGAAAATCAGATGTAATTTCATAACTTCAGGAACACATAGATTAAGGGCTGATACTTCAGCTGCACTAGGAGATGATCCAGGGCAAAATAGGTATCTTGACTCTGTCTCTGGGTTGTAATTCCAGCAAAAATGTTGGAACTGAGGCCTCCCTGGTGGCCTAGGAGTGAAGTCTCAGCACTGTCACCACTAAGGCCTGAGCTTAATCCCTGGCCAGGGAGCTAACCCATATATGGTGCAGCAGACCCCTCCTGTCTGACCTGCTGCTCCCCTTGCCAGTGTATTTCAATAAATCTGCCTGTTCTGCTCCCCATGTCTCTGGTGAACTCTCTCACCCCCACACCTCTGGCCTATACCTCAGTTCTTCTGTGCAAAAAAAATTTTTTTGGAACTCATAATATGCTAAGTCATGAACCTTTGATGTACAAAGATTACTTGAACTACATCCTACCCACATATGTGAATATTCCAATACAGTAAATGAGATAGGAGATGAGAACTATGTAAATAGTTACAATAGAAAATTTTTCTGTAAAGGGTACATGGAACTATAAAAAAGATGGAAGACTTTCAGGCTATTTCTTTTGTATAGGTAACCTTTAGTATTTTTCAGTGACTGGAAAGCATTTTGAGAAGGAAAAAAGAAAGGCATTAAAATGGGAAAGCAGAGAGGATTATGTACACAATCTTGTCAGGAAGACAAGAATTTTTTTTAAAGATTTATTTATTTTTGTACAAGAGCTGGGATACAGGCCAGAGGTGCAAGAGGGTGAGAGGATTCACCAGCTACAGTGCGGGGAGCAGAACAGGCAAAAGGACTGAAGACACTGCTGAGGGGAGAAGCGGGCGAGGCAGGAGAGGTCTGCTGCGCCATGTGGGAATCTCCCTGGCCGGCTGGGAATTGAACCCGTGCTGCGGAGGCTGCGGACAGCTTCACAGTGCGGCACTCAACCTACTGCGCCACTGGGGAGGTCCAAGACAAGAATTTTTTTTATAAGTGAGAAGGAAGAATGGACTATATCTTGAATTTTGAACTAAATTTGAACTTAATGTTGGGAACCATTTGAAATTTCTGGACAGGTCAGGACTACAGAAGTAAACTTTCCCCTAACTTCTCTAGATAGAGAAAACCCCCACATTTAAAGTTTTAGATAGGGATTTTGCATCTGTGCATAAATACATATTCTTGGTTTTAGACTGAAATAAGTACTTTTTATTTTAGTGTATTTACATCACTTTCCAATTGGTGGGCAGTAGGTTTTTTTTTTTTTTTTAAATGAGAATCAGTTTTCTAATTACTGGAAGGAAAGCTTTATAGTTCATTGATCTTCTTAAACTGGCAATATTCATTTAACTCTGTTCCTAAACTGTTTTGCTTGTAACTGTGCTCCTACCGTTAGATAATGTGGCTTTGAGAGAATTCTTTGATTTTGTTTTTAGTGTTGGGATGAAAATGATAGTTTGCTACTTGGTGGGTAGAGCAAATACAAATAAATACCTTTTGAATTGGTGCACCACCTGCACCATATATATAAGGTTATATACAGTTATTATAAACATAAGAAGTTAACATTTTCTTGATATTTGTATTCTAAAGCTTCTTGGGGGAATTAATGACATAGTTTTTGGTCTATATTATGAGTTATTCAGAGCTTGGTCTATAGCAGGTGGTCCTTTCTCTTAAGAGTATCTTATCTCAGAAACTTAGGTAATAAGCCTTGATTTAAAAATTGCATGTACACCCAGAGCTAATAGTGACCACACAGACAATTACATGTTTCAGTGAACCAGTTGTACTTAACTTGGTTTTTTCCTTTGCTGTATGGGGTAATAGTAGTAACTCAATTATTTTATAAAGTTTTGTGGGGATTAAGTAAAATAATATACCTTAAAAGGTTGGACCTCCCTGGTGGCCTAGGGGTTAAGTCTCAGTGCTATCACCTCTGCTGCCTGAGTTTGATCCCTGATTTTGATCCCAGCCAGGGAGCTAAACCACATAATGGTGCAGCAGACCTCTCCTGTCTCACCTGCTGCTCCCCTCAGCAGTGCATTTTAGTGGATCTGCCTGTTCTGCTCTCCACTCTGTATCTGGTGAATCCTCTCATCTTCCCCCCGCACCTCTGGCCTACACCCCAATTCTGTGCATAAATAAATAAACCTTTTTTTAAAAAAAGGTTAACTCATTGCCTGTACAGGGTTCAGTGACAAATGATAATCAATTAATTAAGTTTGTGGAGTACCAAAATGTTTGAATTTCTTAAGCTCATTGTGGTGTAAAATTTTCCATGTCCAGTGTGAAAATTAGCTGAAATGTAGAGTATTTGTTTATAAGTATTCTTTAGGATACTCCTCTTTCCTGATTCTTACATTCAGTCTCTTGCCTTTTTTTCTTAGTCTCAATCACTTATTGTCTTATTCTTCTACTACTATTATGTCACTTGTAATTCAGTAATTATTTCTGGAGTGAATGAATAAATATTCTAAATAGCTTCTGCTTTTTCTCATTTTTGGGTCACCTGATTCTTTCCTTTTAATTAGTTTCAATCTATGTAGTTGTCTTTATTTAGTAGTACAAAAATGGTTACACATCAGTCTGTATGTTCACCCCAGTAGTAAATTTCTCATGGTCTTCTCTCATCTATTTCTGCATCTTCTTTTCTTTTTTTAAAGATTTATTTATTTATGCATAAAAGCACTGGGGTATAGGCCGGAGGTACGGGGGCGGCCAGAGTGTGAGAGGATTACATGAGAGGATTACATGACTCTCACCAGAGAGAGTTGGGAGCAAAACAGGCTGATTGAAACACACTGTGGAGGGGAGCAGCGGGCAACGGGAGAGGTCTGCTGTGCCATGTGTATTGTTCCCTGGCTGGGGATTGAACTTGTGCTGCGGTGGCTGTGGACAGCTTCATAGCACCACCCCTTGCACCACCAGGGAGGCCCTGACCATATGATTTTGATAATTTTACTACCAGTGGTAGGTTTTAGTCTTGAGATAAGGGATTCATCTCTGTTGACCATACATCAGAGGATATCTATACCTGTTTTCCTTTTTTTTTTTTCCCCTTCCATTTTTATAGCTCATCAAAAATTGCAGTTATTTTATTACATCGTTCCTGCCTAGAGGTTTTGCTCTTTGGTTTTAGCTTAGTGACTGGATCACTACCTTCAAGGATAACAATTTCTACTTGGATAAAAGTATTAGATCTGAGCTTCTGTCTCCTCCTGGCTTTAGAGCTTTTTTCTGTTAGTTTTTCTACTGAATATTTCACTTTGTTTTGCTTGTAGCCAATTTTGTCCACACTAAGAAATCTTTCCCTCACCTATATTCTTCACAGTTTTCTTTTCTCTTGTTTTCAACTTTTTTTTTTTTTTAAGATTTTTATTTATTTTTATACAAGAACAAGATGCGCGGGAGGGTGAGAGGATTCATTGGAGACAGAGTGGGGAACAGAACAGGCAGACTGATGAAATACACTGCTGAGGGGAACAGTGGGCGAGACAGGAGAGGTCTGCTCCGCCTTGTGGGATTCTCATTGGCTGGCCGGGACTGAACCTGCACTGCAGAGGCTGTGGACAGCCTCACAGTGTGGTGCTCAACCACCTGCGCCACCAGGGAGGCCCCAACTTTCTGTTATTTTAAGGATAATTTTTACTATGACCTTTATGGCTTCAGTTTCTAGTTAATTTTTTAGAGCCTGGCTTCTTTTGTCCACTTTCTTGAAAGTTGCTTTCTCATGGGCATTTAAAATCTTGTTGCCAAATATAGTGCCATTTTCTTGGTCCCCAATGTTTATGTTTAGCAGATGACTTTTCATTGATGGATATTTGCCTTAATTTCTTTGAATTTATGCCTTTCTGATTCTTTGCTGATCCTACTTAGCTCTTCTTGAATTGTAAAATACTACCATTTCCCGCAGAGCCTCTTTAAATCTCCTTTTTGCCTTCTTCCTTGGCAGTATCATAGTTTCATTGTAGTTCTAGAATTTAATGACCTTCTAGGTAGGGGAACAACTCCCAGATGTTTTAACTTCTCTTATGTTCATACCATCTGCATTATGCTGTCTTCCAGATTTCTAGTTGTCTGCCAAGTACCTCTGTCTACATCTGGCACATCAAATCATTATGCTCAAAAGAACATCAGACTACTTCGTTTTGGGTTTTTTTTTTAAAATTTTTTTTTTTTTAATTTATACAATAGCTGGTGTACAGGCCAGAGGCACAGGAGGGTGAGAGGATTCAGCAGAGAGTGGGGAGCAGGACAGGCAGACAGGCTGAAAGCACTGCTCAGGGGAGCAGCGGGTGTGACAGGAGAGGTCTATCGCACCATGTGGGAATCTCCCTGGCTGGCCAGGAATTGAACCTGCGCTGCAGAGGCTACGGACAGCTTCACAGTGCTGCACTCAACCTACTGTGCCACCAGGGAGGCCAAGAACATCAGACTTCTATTCCTGTATTCCAAATTTTACTACTGGCATTAGTATGCTTCCAGCACTCATGCTTGAAATCTTATGGATCAGTTTAACTACTTGTTGGACTTTTGTTTCTTATAGCCAATTTGAAAAAAAACCTGTGTGTTCTCTTCTGTATACAGCCCAGCAACACTCTTTGCTTTACCACTCTCGTAGTTCTGCATTGTTATGTGTCTGGACAGATTTAATTATTTTGCTTTCCGTACTGTCTAAATTTGGTTACTTTTTTAAAAGCATAGCTCTTACGTTATTTTCATCTTAGCATTTGTTCATTTCCTTTTGTCTAATAAATAAAATCTAGGTTTTTAAACATAGTGTTCATTGCCTAGATTATGATGAAGTCATTGTGGATGGGAGAAAAGGGGGGGGAAGAACCAGGTTTGATGTTTGATCTATGGGACTGGGAGAGAGTCAAGCTGTTAGTCAAGTAACTTCATGTTTTGGAACTTGGATATCCAATATACAGTTGGTAATCTGTGACATCTGAAAAGCATTGGATCATAAAACTTGCATCCTTATGTACTATTCCTGTATTAATTTACCTTCCCCCAGAGAATCAGCAGTCCTAGTACTTTACTGTGGTTTAGACTCTTCCTTTCAATCTTGTCAGCATTTCTTACTCACGTACAGCAGGCCCTCAAATAATGTCATTTTTTTTAAAGTCATTCTGTCCTTCAGTGAAGCAATGTTATTGAAGGAGCAATTTTCATTATACATCATTTTAGTTAAAGTCACAGATTCGAAGAACCAGTTGACAATGTTAAGTAAGGACTCAACTATACTCTGAATAATTTTCCTTTGCATTCATTTCAATTATTTTCTGCCACTCATAACATAAGCCTTCTCCTTTAGAGGAATTTTTGCCGTGCTATAAAAAAAAAAAGATTATATTAAATGTTAGTTTGAGTGATTGTTTTTAACTTGTTAATTTGTTCAATTCTCTTATAGGAAGGTCCACTAAGACCTGTCCTTGAGTACATTGATCTAGTCAGCAGTGATGATGAAGAGCCTAGCACCTCTCACAGTGAGGTAAGTATCTTACATTTAATTTGCATTTCTTCACTTCTGCCATTTAAGAGGTATTTTCTAAAGAGAGTTATTAAATTAATGATGATTGTCCGTAGGAGCTATAGCACTTTAAATAATGTCCTTTTTTTTTTGTTGTTGGAATTGGCCATAATAGTTGAAGGAATCTTTTGCCCAGAACATCTACTTCCAGTTTTATTCCTCTACTTTCAGTGAGTATGCGAATGAATAACATGACACAGGAAATTTCTAAGCCTTGAAGATAATATCTGATAAAAAGAAAACGAAATAAAAACTATAAGCTTTTTGGCTCCTTGTGTCCCTTCTTTGCTGTCTTTCCTCAGGTGCCCTATAGAACTGTATCCTTTTCTTCCAGAATCATGTGATTCCAGAAAATTTGTTTTATCTTGGAAAAAAGGATTTGTCAAGATCCTTTAGAAAATGGAATGTGGAGAATGGTTTATAGGCGATACATTACTTTAGTCATCATTCGTTTGAACTTCCTCCGTCCACTACATTTTTTGAAGTTACTTCTTGCTGTGATTTTTTTTGAAGTTACTTCTTGCTGTGATTTATTGGTTGTTACTTTGACCCTTAAACGAATACTTCCCTCAATCTGAGAACGATATTAGCCGAGCTTTTTGTGACAATCTTGTCTTTCGTTTGTCTTACCCCAAATTTCTGTTAACAGAATACTGTTGATGAATTAGAGGAGTCATGGTTCTTACTCAGGGTGCCAGAAAGCTTCTGATTATATGATAAAAGAGATTGAAACTCGCATTTGCAGTCAGAATTACCTAGGGTTTAGTCTCAAGTTTTATTGCCTACTAATTCTGTGCCTGTGAAAAAATTTAATAGTCTTTTAACTTCAGTATCCTTATCAAATAAGAATAATAACCTACCTCACAGGGCTGTTGTGAGGATGAAATTAGGTAATAAAAGTGTATGTCAACTTGAAAACTATAAGCCAAAAAGTAGGACTTTATGATTGGAAAATTTTGTTATTCCTAGAGAGTGAATAGGAGATTTTTTTAAAGGGCTCAGAAATGACTCTGAATTAGGGGCCTTTTAAATCTTTTTCCTTTTCATTGGAACTTTACCCCAAATTCTTTCTGGCATTATTAGCTTCCACTTGTTGACTTACATATATTAAATGGGATTTTTTATTTTAATTGTCATCACCAGTAGGCTCACCACCTATTCTTATCCTAGCATGGTGTACCAAACAGCAGACTAGGATGGCACCACTTGAACTGGGCTAATTTTTACCTTTTTTCATAGAGTGCCAGATTAATTCCAGTAGTTCTTATTGGGCATTTTTTGGGGGTAGTGAAGCTTGAGGATTTGACTTCTATAATCCCCTTGCAGACCTGTAGTGGATTGCATCTTTCATTGTTAATTATAATAATTTTTAAAATTGGGTTCTACTTACTGGACATGCATCTCTGCACTTGAAAGTTAATATATTAAAAAGCATATTTTTTTTCTTCCTTGGTTTTCTTGTTCATGTGGATAACCCAGAGAATGCCTGAGTCTAAGGTGCCATCCTCTGAGAATCATCGCCCAGAAATGTGCTCTAGCTGCAGTGTTCCTCTTCTCATTGGAGACAGCAGCTCCTCCTCTGGGAGTTGTACCAACAGTCCACAGAGAATAGTTTCTCAACCTCCTTCTGTTGAGAACCCATTGGAGAACCAGAAAAGTGATCACAGTAATTCAGATATTAAAATCTGTGAGACTGAGACACTTAAACCATCACACACTTTTCAGACTCTGCCTTCATCTCCTCTTCTGGTCCCCCAAGAATCTTTGACCTCTTCGGAGGTCAAGGAGGATTTACCTGTAGAGTCTTCAGCTTCACAGCATGGACAGGATGCCATCCTCTATCTCCAGACACAAGTGGCTGAGATGTCCCGAGTGATACGTGATCTTCAGTCCAGGAGTTGTTTTAGATTTCATCATTCTAGACCAAGTGAGAACTCATCAGTTCCTTGGGACATTTCTACCTCCAAAGAAGAAAATTTATCCACAGTTGAAGAAGAAACTGACTGCAAATCCCCCTCAGCTGATGACAAAGGGCAGCCAGCTGACCCCAGTCAATCTAGTTTCACAGGTCTCTTGAAGAGAATGGAACAAAGAGGTGTTATAAAGAGAGTAACATTGCAGTCTGAAGCAGAATCTTGTGAAGGTAAACCTGATTATGTGGCCTCTAAGAAACGTTTGGTTCCTCCATTGCATCCTCTTTTGAGAATTGCTACCACTGAAGTTTTTAAAGATCCTGCTGATTGCCATCCTTCTTCCTTCATGGGACATAGGGTGTATCCTGTGGCCAAGGACACCTCTCCTTTCCAGCCAAATCCACCAGCTGAGGGCCCCATTGTAGAAGCATTAGAACACAGCAAAAGAGGCAGCACAACATCCCCTCTAGATTCTACCTCAAAAGAAATGGAGGTCATGGGTTGTAGGTTCTATCATGCTGCTTCTATTGCAGCCCGAGCTGCTAGCTACATGGCCTATATGACTCAGTATCAGCGTAAACTCTGGGAAGACATGGAGGATCTGGTCCATGACCCAGAATTTGATCGTGGAAGAGCAAGGTGTATAATAGCTGATGGTATGGATGCAGGCCTTTGGCAGCTTTGTACTACTAGGGACATAATGGACTCTGTAGTCAGAGTTATGGCAATGGCAATAGACTACAGAAGGCAAGCTTGGCTCCGACTTACATCTCTCACTAAAAAAACGCAGGAGAAGATCTCACACTTGCCCTTTGATGGTACTTCCCTTTTTGGACAAGATGTGAATGCTGTTGTTGCAGAAGAAAACAATATAAAGGAAAATGACTATAAAGACCACAACAAATACTATAACCAGCATCGATACTTTTATAGTCATGATCAGAAAGCGCACTATCATTATAGAGGATACTCTAAAGGAGATTGGTACAAACCCCGAAACCACCCCTACAGGTATAGAAAAAAGGGAGAATCTCCAGAACGCCATGGGTACAAGAATTAATAACCCGTTCATGTTCAGCAGTATAACCATCCAAGAGTCTAACTTTTGCTTGCTCTTTCTCACTCATACAGGACATACAGGTAGGATTACCTCAAAAACTGAACACGTGGAATTATCACTGCTGACATTTGCATTCTACTTTTGGAATAAAGTATATAATAGACTTGTGCTTAATTGGCCAAGTAACAGTAAACAGGCTTACATATAAGTAGGTTTAGACAAAGATTTATCCATTATTTTGGTCCAAACTAAATCCAGAAGAGGGTACTCAGGAATCTAAATCTTGTGAATTAAAGAAAAATGCAAAGATTTATTCCTCAGGAAAATCTTACTGGTAAACTGAGGACGAGCAGATTTTGAATCGGGAAAAAAACCTACTACTAGATTTCTGTTTACTAATACCAGAGGCAAATCCTTTTTCATGTCATCAGTGCTTTATTCAGGCTTCAGCTTGTCAGATCTTCAAACAGTGACAAAATCTGTTAAAATCTATGTTATAATGAGTCCAAGACCAAGAGTCCATACTACTCTCAAGTTCCATGGACTTCAGGCACAGCATTGAAGCTCTATGTCAAAAACTGGAATTCAAATCAGATTTTGCCAAATCTACTTGCTTCAATGGGATGACTATACGTCACAGGTTTTCTATGGACTTCAGCTGGAAAAAGACTTCACTACCTGGACCGTCTCTGTGGGTGTTTATGTAGTAGTAACTCTCTTCATCAACTGATGGCTACCGTAACAATCACCACTCATAGCTACATGTGAAAGAAGTCTTTATGGTTATCAACCTTAAACCTTTGACCTAACAATGTCACATAATCAGCAGGTGTGAGACCCAGCAGGGTGGTCTCAGGATATACTGGGCCTTTGACCAAGACGACTTCTTAAACTTAACCTTCTAAACTGTTAACTTTTGAGCTTAAGGATTCATCACACTGAATACAAAAACTGATAGGCACATTACAAAGGATGTTACACCATCCAGGCATGCAAAAATAAACTCTTAAAAGAGCAAGAATTCCAAACATGCCTGACAATCTGATTCTCTTATTGTAATGAAGGATGCTATCAGTCTAGTTGTTATTGAGAAATCCTTAAGATTTAGAGTATAACTGTGAATGTGGTAAAAAGAGCGTCTCACACAGTTCTGTTCCTGGATGTCTTTTTAAATGATGGTATCCATTAACTTCTTGAAAATATAAAATCAAGACTTCAGTGACATACTCTAGGTTAATATAATCAAACTTTTATCATGAGAAATGACTTATCTTTTTGCTCCTGATTGGTTCCATTAATAGTTCACCATACTGGAACTGGCAGCAGATACCTCAATTATGTGTTCAGTAGTATCTTTTTAATCTCCTGACAGTGGCTGTACAGTGTACGAGCCTTTAGATCATGTCTTTGCAGCATGGCTTCAGAAATGGAGGAAGTGTCAAGTTTAAGGGGGTCTGATTATATCACCTAGTATTATCTGCTTGGCAGCCAAAAACCAAAATACACTGACAGACTTAGTTTTGTGATTACTTGGTTTGTCAAACATTACATTTTTTTTTCTTTTTTTAAATCTGCTTGATCAAAGTATTTTGGGTCACTGTTAGTGGAATATAACTGTTTTGGCATTCATGTGGTTTCTGTTTCTTGTTCACGTTTTTGCACAGTGATGATTGACATATTTCCTGGGGCCCTTTATTGGAAGCTCATCTCCCCCTTCCCATCAAAATCAGCATCCATTTTATCTACCTTTTTTCTCCCTATTTGTCCTGTAGAGATTGAAAACGCAGATTTGCCTACTTGGAAGCAGTTATTTTGTTGGATAATTTCAGGGTACTGATGGATCTTGTTTGTCTTATTTGTAGATTAAGTCTTAAACTAGTTTAAGTCATGTCTTAACATTTACCTTTATTTTTTACTTCTGCTTTTTTTATATATCCATGCCAGTATTCTAAAAACTATCAAATTGAATTCTAGAAAAGCATCAACTACCTGAAAAGAAACAAGGGCCTAAGAATTCATGTGAAGATTTTGCAGTTCATATGTGTTAGGCTAGTCAAGTAGTTTCATGTGATCTTGTCATGGTCTTATAGTTTCTGCTATGAAAGGATAAGTCACTAGGGAACTCATTGGAGAGGGACCTTGCAGTTATTCTATATGACTGCCTATAGGTATTCCCAGTTTACTAAGACTTCAAACTGTTACCTCTTTTCCATTTCTTCCTTTTCCTTCCTGAGTTAGATTCTGTGTCATAAACTTCATGATTTTTGAGATAATCTTATTTTCAAAAATCAAACCAAAATAGATGTATGAAGATTTAATTTTCTAAAATTGCTTTGTTACCCACTTGTTTAACACACACCTCATTTTTAACTTTTCAGTTGTGATTTTACAGAAACAAATTTGTTATCATAATCGCTTTCATAACCATTTATAAGTTACAGTTCCATAGTGTTAGCTATATATACATTGTTATGTAGCTTCTCAAATATTTATAAGGCAGCAGTGCTGTTATTTTTCTCTTGTGTTATTTAGGTTGCTCAGTAAGAAACATGAGTAACATTGCCACTCTAGTCAATATTTTCCAAGCATCTCTAGAGAATTTTCCTAAAAGTGAAAAGATTTTGAGAAATGAACAAGTAGGTTACTTCTGAAGGGATTTGGCAGTTGAGTAGGGATGGGGACAGAATGCAGTAGAGTAGGAACAGTTTTTAGGTATAGATTAATTTTCAGGAGAAAACTGTATTCTTAACATGTTTGTTTTTTTCATTTAAACTCTTCTCTGACATACTTGAATCATGATAGTGTTATAAAACTAAAAATGGAGCCTGGGATTAGGGAGACAACCTAGTAGACAACCCTAGTACCTTATGGAACTCATAATTAGATAAGTTTTCTGTTGTGCCTGCTATGTGCAGAGCCTATGATAAAATTCTCCATTAGGCCAACCTCTGATGTTTAAATACCTCTAGATTTTCTAGGCGGCCTTGAAATAATCACAAGTTTATTGATTCGGTATTCTCAAAATGGATACCTCTAATGCTTTTTCTTTAAGATGTTATTTCTTGACTAGACTTAAGATATATGTGGAGACAATATGATTTTTTTGTTAACTGTGTATAGAGAAATACTGTTTCCATTTTTTATGAAGTGCCTTTTTAAATTTCATACTATTGTTTAAAACTTAACATTTTGATGTCTGACATGTTGCTGGTGATATTTATGTTAATTCTGTACAGTGATTTTTAATTTTGTAGTGTTTTCATCTGTACAATTGCACTATCTAAATGTACTCTCCTTCTGAAAGTTACTTTTTCTTTATAGCACTGTTGATCCATTTCAGAAGGTTGTAGAGTATGCCCCTCCCCCTTTATTTAAGTAATCTCGCAGAGGTTCTTTTTAGTTATTAGAGATTAGCTCAGTTTTTCTGGGCATTAAGTAATCTTTGCTCCATATGTAACCTTTTTCTTAGCTGTGGTAACACCACTTATATTTGATAAGTGAATGTGTTTACCTGCTAAGAACAAACAAAAATACTCAAAGCAGTAAATTTGGTGACACTTGTATCTTTTTTTTTTTTCAGACTGTGTGACAGCTTCATTATCTGTGTAATTGCATTTTAATTTTTTTTTTATTCTGTGGCAGCTTTTTGATCAGTACAATTCATTTATTTACTTAGCTCTTAAATAATATTTTGAGGGAAGCATAAACTTTCAGGCTACTTGGATACTGTTTAGTACTTTATGTTAGTACTATTACTAATAATTTACTGACTGATACCTAAGTGACCTGATTGATAATGTTCTTAAGGGCCCACTACACCCAGGATAACCTCTCAGGTACTGTAAACAAGGAGGTTGTAACAGACACAATTCAGAATTCGTTCTAGCTAAAAAATTGGATACTAATTTAGAGGAACAGGGTTAAATGTCACATTCAGTGTTCTTGATATAATTGGGATTCTGATGAAGGTTAGATATTATGGATTAGATCTTTGTAGAACTAGTTTAAAAATTGCAATAACTGAAAACTTTTTTTTTTTAATGTGAGGCACATTTTGCCCCAGACTTGCACTCTTTAGGTTGCTTCATCTTTGGGAACTTAGCTTTATTTTCTTATTGTTAGAAGCTAATTTAATAATTATGATACCTGATTGCATCATATGCAGATCATTGAGTTGGCAGATCCATTCAATGTAGTTTTTTATTAGTTGATACAGAAACCAGTCTTTCATTTTTCATATGAAATAGACAAAACTTACCAGTAAATCACTATTTGGGTGCAAATGTTATTTTTCCAGATATAAGGAGTTTTGTAAGCCATTAAAATATTCTTTTATGGAATTTGGTGGATGAATGATGAGAGTATTATTTTATTAGACCTTTTTACCTTATTGATTAGTAGGGTATTTTTTGGGCCACCTTGTCTTTTCATTTGCTTGACTTTATAGTAATGAAAACTTTTTATAGTAGTGTTTGGTACCATTGAGATATATCTTAATACTGAAATTTAAGTTTGCTTCTGGTGAGAGGTATCTAAAAGTGATCACAATCCAATTACGTCTTTCTGATGTTTGCATATCAGTTATTTCATTCTTTATAACTGATCTTTTTTCCCCTTTATGTAACACCTCTTTAGAAGGATGTCTGATTTTCCCTTAATCTCTTTGATGTAGATAATATTTTTATTCTACCTGTATATACCAGCCAGGATTTTGATAATGGCTTTGTATATTTAAATACAATGCCTTTAGCATTATTATAAGAGGTTTTCTAGTTTTCTCTTATATGTTCTTTTTGAAAAAGTAGCAATCCAATCTCATTATTTCCTGGCCATTGTTTAATGACAGTATTTTCTTATTTCTACATATTCTTTACAGAAGTGTATTATTACATAGAGTTTATAGTTAATTGCATCTCTTTTCATAAAAATTTCAAGCCCATCACCATGAACTTATAGCTCTGACATATACTGTATCTTAAAGTTAACAGTTTTCTCTAGGTCTTAAGGGCTTTATACTAATATTTTGTTGAGGTAACTGTCTATTTCAAATGGTCTCTTGGATTTTCTGATGCCTTGTCAAGAATTCAATAAGTGTTCTCAGGTTGTTTGTACTTTCTTTTAGAATTTGGTGGTCTCTCAAAATAACAGTGAGTTTTGTGATATTCCAGAGTATATTCCTTGGTAGAAGTAAAAGTAAATGGTTTATATCTGGTGATATTTAAAAAAAATTCTCCTTTGACTTTAAATGCTTTAAGTGTTATTGTGTTACAAGTTTCAATTAGCAGTCCCTTTCTAAGACTAATTTTCATGTGCTGTTTATTTTCTATGGTTGATCATATGCTTTTGTTTTCTTTATTACCTGCAAGAATGACACTATCACAGCATTCAATTTTAAGGGCTACTGTTAGACCTCTTGCTAATTCCCATTCTTATGATGGTTATTTCACACTACCTTGATTTATAATGTAGTATTGTTTGAAATTTATCATGTTTGTGGTTCCTTTTTGTATTTGCTTTTCATTGAGACACTGTTGTAGATGGTAGGAACAAAAAGACACTTTTTCAAGTCAGTAAACAGTTAAAAATATTCAGTTCCATTTTTATAAACACAATTACATTTCTGCCTTGGGTAGACTATAGTTAATTTGTGGTCTCATCAGATTCTTAGCACAAAGTTGTATGAATAGTAGTCTTTATTTAATAGCTTACAACCGTTTCTGTTTTACTTTCAGCCAAAATATATTTTGACAGATCTTGGAAGCACCTTGATAGTCTTGGGTCTTAATGACCTCTGGGAAGGAAGTATTGGAACCTACATTTATAGAGCTTATTCATTAGGCTCTGTGCTAGTGAATATGCAAGGTACTCTGAGGCAGAAATTCCCCCTTAACTTTACAGATGAGGAAATGAAACATTAACATTAAGCAACTTGTTTGTGGTAGAATTGAGCATTGAATATAGACTTTACCTCTCTGATAAACTAACATGACATTCACTAATCTTTTTCTTCCCTGAACATTGTGTTTATGACTATACTTTCATCCATTAGTACTTGATGTATTAACTAATTCTGGGTTATTTCACTGTGCTGAACTAAGATAAATCTTGATGTATAGTCATAGGCTTCTGTTTCATATATTGCTTATTTGTATTCATTCCATACATCCATTCATTTTCAGCACTGATCTGTTTAGTTACGGTTCTTATGAATGGTAGAATTTTCCTTGTTCTACCTTTTTGTTTGTCATGCCATTTTCTTTTAGATATACAGTTTAAATTTTTTCTTTGCTGGTGTCTTTAGGAATTGGTTTAATGGAAGGTAGGTAGAATGATGCAAAGCACATGGTATTTGAATTCCAAAGACCTTGATCTAAGTGTTAGCAAGTCACATACTCTCTGAGTCTCAGTTTTCTTAATCTCAAATGAAGTAGTGTCTGGAAGTATTTTGAAAATTCAAAAACTATAGATTTCTTTCTTTAATAGTTGTGCTGTTTCTATCCACATTGGTAGGTTTTTTGTAACTGTGTGGTGGTACTGAATATAAATACATATACATTTTAAGGTGTATTTAATAGCATGTAATAATTCATTTTATGTTACCAGATTGTTCCCCTTGTTTACATTTCTTAAGGCTGAGCCTATTAAGCTATATTGCAACCCCATCAATGATGTAAGTCATTAAAAGACATTAAAGTAAAATAATTTCTCAAGTGCAAGCTAAGAAATGCTTATAATAAACAAGAAAGAAATTTTAGAATGTAGAATGAAAAGCTAGGGTATATAGGTAAGTGTATACGATTTTTGATGGTATTTTGTCATTTTGTGTCTATGTTGAAAGTAATCTTTCATTTATCAGACATCTTTTTAAATACTTGTTTTGTGTAGGCAGGCATTGAGGAAGATCTGGGGATACTGGGCGATAATAGGAGATAGTATAGTCTCTTAAGAAAAGAAAGAAATACCAGTACAATATACTTGTCCTGTTTGGAGGAATGCCTGAGATGAGTTGGAATAAAAGGGAGTCATCTAGAGGAGGGGTCAGGTAAGCTTTTCTTATCAAATGCTTGAGATGAGGTTGGGAGCATGATTAGGAAAGAGTTGGATTGGTAGAAACAGGAACCAGGCACTCAGATGAAGGAAATCTGTGTGTGCAGAGATGTGGGGGAACATGTGTCTGGCTTTAGAATTGGTAAGGAACACCTTTTATGGGTATAGAATTCGAGGTGTTTGAAGGAGGATTATCCATGAAAATGTATTGGTTCCTACCTATTCAAAGGATACCAAGTTTGAGTACCATGGTCCACTATGGACAGCTATAACAATTCTGTTTTCCCCAAACTGAACCAAAGGGATGCTCTCATTGATGTACACCTTTACCTTTAACAGGAGTGTGACATCCCATTTTGTGTATACAGTTGCCTACTTCAGGACAACTTTTTAGCAGTGTGTGCTCAGTGTAGCTAAGTTTGGCTACTTTCCCCTTGGCTTACAGATAATTTGGCTTATGACTTGGGGAAAATAGAGATATTTTAAAAGATGTTTCATTGAAGTTTGGAGATGATGTGAAGACCTGTGAATCTTGTACCAGTTGTACCTCCAGCAGCACCCAAACCACATTTAGTTTCTGTTTGTTTTTACCTCTGGTTTGAGTTCTTTCTTGCTGTTGCCACTTTAACCTTCTCTGTCTCCTTAATTCATCCTTTTTCTTTCTGTACCAGAGATAGAACAATGGCACTAAGGCCTAGGAAGTCACAATTTCACTTTCAGAGATATTTGAAACTTCTTTTAAGTTCCACATTGGTAGGTTTTTAATAACTGTGTGGTGGTACTGAATATAAATACATATATTCTCCCTGTGTTGAATCAAAGACATTTTCCCTAGGAGATTTTATAAATAATATTGGCAATTTACCCAAAAGACAATGCAAGAAGAATTGTATTTCACAGGTTTGGTGGTACTAGCCTTCTTAAATGAGTAAAATACTTTATGGAATGGGATGTAGCTGTATGTATGTTTTTAAATTTGTTCATATAAGACATGTTCTGTGTACTTTGTAATTGTAAACAATAACTAGTTGGGGGTGGGAAGGAGATTGCTTTGTACAAAAGGGTTGTTTCCTGGTTCCAATGCTTTGCTGCTAGAGATGGTAAATAAATATCGTACTGCTTTGCCGTGTTTATCTCTTCTGCTCTATCTGTATTTGAATACAAAATTCTTGAGAAAATTGTTGCTTTTCAAAATGTTATTTGGGGTATGATTTGAGTTACAAGTTGTGCCAAAGAAGCACCTGGTAAACAACTTCTGGGAGTGCAAATTCATGCAAACTATGGACCAAACCCTTAATTGGGAAGTGATAAACAGACTTCTAAACTTGATTTTGTATGAAGTAATGAATGCAGTTTAATGAATTCTGTTCAAATCAGGCTCTCAGAAGGAAATAACTTTTGGTTACCTCTGAGATTTCTTTGAACCTTGAGTCCCTTATATAGAAGATAAAGAGGAAAGGAATGGTCATTCTTCATTTGGTACCACTCTGAGTAATCAAGGCTTGCTGGCATTCAGGAAGACATATAACAATAAATTTTACCTTGGTTTGGTCTATATTTATCCCCCCTCCCTATGCTTTACTCTCTACCTCCCACAAATTTTATTACTTATTGCTGACTTTTCTCAGTAGCCAAAAAGTGCCTTTGGACAGTCAGGGACCTGGGTTGTCATGTTAACTTCTGGATAACTATTTTTACAGAATGCTTTCTCCTAGATTATATCACTGTATACTACATGTCACTGAATTACTCCATTTTGGAGAGATGTCCAGTGACTATATTAGTATTTCCATTAAAAAAGTAACGTAGAAAATGCCTAATGGGAACTTTTAGTTAAGTATTAAAATGCATTTTAGAGATTAGTAATGATTTTAAAGTGTTAATCTTTGTTTATAAAGAAGCCACAGTGATATAAGCCACAGGCTATTGTAAAATATTAACTTTTGAAGCAAACCCTGTTTTTCAAAGACAATGCTTTACAAAAAGCAGAATTCTTGCTTCATTTCTACATTTTTTTAAACTTCATCTTGGCAACTATATCTCGAAAATTGGTTTAGATAGTTACGGCAGTAAGAAGTGACCTCAATACTCAACTTTTAGATTAGCAAATGAATAAAAAGTGAAAGCTGCCTATATTTAATTGAAAAATTTATTTGTGGTACTACCTTCTTAAAAAATGCATTCAATAATGAAGTCAGTTAATTGGCAATCCTATGACTCTTACCCTCCTAAACCATGATACTTGACTGAGAGTAAACGGTTCCAAAAAGAGGCATTTGGAGATGAATTTTAAAAGTTCTCCTGTGAAGTCATTTAAGTATGCGTTTATCTGACACAGAAATTCAGGTTCTAGTAAATTTTTTTTAGAGATTTATTTATGCATTAAGAACAGGGGTATAAGCCAGAGAAGGGTGGGTGAGAGGATTCACCAGGGACAGAGTAGAGAGCAGAATAGGCAGACCCACTGAAATATACGGCTAAGGGCAAGACAGGAGAGGTCTCCTGTGCCATGTGGGTTAGCTCTCTGGCTGGGGATAACTTGATAGTGCTGAGAATTTAACCACTGCGCCACCAGAAAGGTCCTCCTTTTTAATTTATTAAATATTGAGTATTTTTTAAATATCACCATTAATTTGACTTTTTTTTAAAGATTTATTTATACAAGCACTGGGGTACAGGCCAGAGGTGTGGGAGGGTGAGAGAATCCACCAGAGACAGAGCAGGGAGCAGAACAGGCAGAAGGACCAAAATACACACTGCTGAGGGGAGCAGCGGGCGAGACAGGAGAGGTCTGCCGGGCCATGTGGGAATCTGCCTGGGCCGGGCGGGAATCGAAACGGCCCCTCATAGGCTGTGGACAGCTTCACAGCGCTGTGCTCAACCCATTGCGCCATGGGGGAGGCCCTTAACTACTTTTAATGTTTTAACTTTATTTCAGAATATAAATCTGTACTTAGTGCTATGGGATTTTTTAAAAAGCACATGTAATTAAAGAAAAACAAATTTTAAAGTATGTGTTAGCGTTAAAGTGATAATGGTGCTTGACATCAAAACTAAAAGTTACTTCCCAGCAACCATTAGGCTATTGACCTGGAAATGACTTACCCTAATTCTTGTTCATAACTATTTTTATCAGCTTTGGAAAATAGTATAATACTCTCATAATACTGCTAGAAACAAAAATCTGGGGGAGGAGAGTTAAATAAAATTTACTAATAGAGTATGTTCCATCTAGATATAAATTTCCTGTGTTTGTGAAAGATAGATGTTACACATTTTTATGTTATAAATCAGTAACCTAAATTACAGTCTCATACATAACAGTGAGATCAGTAATACTTTCCACCTGTACAGTCTTGGTCACTAATAACAGAAATTTCATTAATAGTTTTTATTAGTTACACTGAAGATGAAAAATTAGAAACTGTAGATAAGGAAAAAACTCAACACAACTTTTATTTATAGCCTAGATTTTACTTACCTATTTATATAAAAATGGAATCATTTTCACTTAATGTAAGTGATAGAGAAAAAGACACTAATATATACAGATTATAACTTTGTTCATTAGTGGGATTTTGTCATCATTAATTTGTCTATTTCACGGTTTTGTATCCTTTATGGTTCACATAGCAGATCACTTTCACAGCAGTGTTAGAAATTTTAACTTTCCAGGAAATCTTGACTAGCTCATTTAACTTGATTAGTAAATGAAAGTATTAATTACTTTGGGGTAAATTTCATATAAGTGAAATTCTTACTGAATGTGATTTGATATTTCGTGGAACTGGTTTCAAGTTCAACTGAACTAATTTCAAGTTTGAAGTAGATATTAAGTCTGTAATAAAAAGAAAAATCAGAACAGTGCAGCTAGTTTTTCACAGGGTTAAATTTCAAGCTACCTTCAGTAGCTTGAAATAGTGTCCTCTTAAATGAGGGTGACCACTGATACTAGTTAAATTCCAAAAATGCTCTTATTTTACAAAAGAATCTATCTGGTTTTCCTTTTCCATTAGTTTCACCCACTGAATCCCACTATTCCAGATTTTATGTAATTCAAGCAAGCCCTCTTCTTTTCCTATCCAGGTTGTACCCTATTTTCAGACTTGAAAAAATTGCTATAACTCCACTACATTACATTAAAAGATAAAAATTGTTCTCTAGAACAAAAGACTTTCTCTTGCTTTCACATTATATACTTACATGGTTTGTGTGCTCAGATTTAACCAGTATTCCTAATCAGTGTCATTTTTAGGACACTCAAATTTGCTTTATATAGTTTTACTTAAAAGTTTTAAATAAAAATGTAAAAAGATATACTTGATAATATAAGAATTCACTGGCCAGAATGAGTAGAACATCACAGGAAGAAGGCCGTAATATCTGGCTCCTGAGGTTCTGGAACAGCTTTTCTTCCTGTACCCATTGTTACCCATATTTATAACCTAACTGCTGATCATCCACAGATTTTTTTTTTTTTTTTTTTTTTTTTTTTTTTTGGTGTGTTAGACTGTGTAACCACAATTGTGGTACCCATTTTAAAAACTATTGTTTTAGTTAAAAAAAAATTCCTGCTGATGAAAACAGAACTGGCCTTTTTATACTGTTTCTGGCTTGACATTTTCCTTAGTGTTGTTGTTTTTTTTTTTTAAGATTTATTTATTTATGCGTACAAGAACTGGGATGAGGTGGGGAGGCAAGAGGTGGGGAGGGAGAGAGGATTCACCAGAGACAGAGTGGGGAACAGAACAGGCAGATTGACCAAAGTACACTGCTGAGGGGAGCAGTGGGCGAGTCAGGAGAGGTCTGCTGCGCCATGTGGGTTGCTCCCTGGACAGCCAGGGACTGAACTTGTGTTGCAGAGGCTGTGGACAGCTTCATAGGTTGCGTCTTAACCCCTTGCGCCACCAGGGAGGCTCGTCCTTAGTTTTAAGACCTACACAACTTCCTCTATAAGAAAGGAGAGGGTCGGAAGAAAAATTGATGCAGAGAGAAATCTAAGTACAGACGCTCCCCTCCCTCGTATATAAAATAGACTTTGCTATGCTGCTCCCCCTAAATAACTGAGTGCATAGCATTTTCTTGCTGATTGTTTGCTATCATTATGGACTTTTCAGTATTATTCTTTAAGAGAATTTAATACAGAAATTAGTCCAGGGTGATCCTGTAACTGCTGACATTCGAAATGAAACTTTAAATTCATTATCATTGAGAGCCAATTCCACTTATAGCTTGAGTTTTATGTTTCTAAAATCCTGTATCTTAGGAAAGATCCAAGGACCAATACGCTTATTTAAGACACATGTTCTGGGGGATATTGGCAAATCCAGAGCAGTCTAGGTTTTTGTGGTTTCATATTGTAATCATTTTGTATTAACAGGATGGTAGAAATTCCCAAACCTAAGAACAGTGACCCCTTTTCATCTTCTACAGGAAACTTTTGACTTTCATCTAGCCTGAAATCAGTTTATTTTGTTCATGTTCCTGACAATGCCATAATTTTAGTTCTGCAGATGGATCCGTTACAAGATGGCATGCAATACATTTTCCCTCCTCACATTTTGGTAATTTAAAGTTTATATTCCTAAACAAACTAATTCTTCAAATTGCTTGTTTTCAACATGGCAGAACAGAAAGGTTTGGATCCCTAAAAACAACGATTAAAAAGAAATACTGTTTGCTCCAGGGAAGATTCAGGACTTAAGCTAACCATTTTTTTTTGTTTGTTATGCTTTTGTGCAAAATAAGACCTGTGTGACAGGATGTATAAAACCCTTAATGTGTGTTTTAGGATTAATGATCCCTGTTTTTCCCAGTGTTGTATTGTTTCAGAACCATTGCAATATAATTAATTAATTCAGAGTCACTTTCCAATAACAATATACTAAAAGGTAGTGCACATACTGTACAATAAGAAAATATTCCTTACCCCTATATCATTGCTCTCATCCATTTAATTTATACGCAAGCATACACACACACAAAATGAAATGCACTGCTGCTGTTATTTTGAACAGATTATTAGTGCAATTAAGAATACGAAAAAAAGTTCTCAGTTTATGGTCATTTACTCTCTGATGCTCTTCTTTACATGCATCCAAGTTTTTGACCCATATTTTTCTTATCTCTGGGAAATCTTTTTGCTTTCCATGCGGGGCAAATGTAGGTAAAAAATTCTTTAAATTTTTGTTAGTTTGAGAAAGTCTTTTCCTCTCCTCTTCATGATTGATAATTTTACAGTTTATATAGTTTTAGGTTTGTAGGTCTTTTCCCTCTCAACATTTATTTCACTTAAATGGTTTTTTTTTTTTTTTGCTTGTATGTTTTCTGAAATGTCGTACAATTCTTATCTCACTCCTTAATAGATGAGACTTTTTCTATCCAAAATTTATTCTTTCAAAGTTTGTTCAATAAATGGTGCTGGGAAAACTGGGTCGCTACATGCAAAAGAATGAAGCTTGACCACCACCTCACACCATACACAAAAATCAACTCAAAATGGATTAAAGAACTAGACATAAGACCTGAAACCATAAAATATATAGAAGGAAATATAGGCGAAACACTACGTGATTTGCACATCAAAGACATCTTTACAGACACATCACCCAAAGCAGTGATAGTGAAGGCAAAGATAAACAGCTGGGACTACATCAAATTAAAGAGCTTTTGCACAGCAAAAGAGACAATAACAAAAACAAAGAGAAACCCCACCAACTGGGAGAACATTTTTGCACCCAACACTAATGATAAAGGACTGATCACAAAAATCTGCAAAGAGCTGATGAGACTCAACAACAACAAAGAAAATAATCCAGTCAAAAAATGGGCAGAAGAGCTTAAAAGAAACTTCTCTGAAGAGGAAATGCAAATGGCCAACAGGCATATGAAAAAATGTTCAACATCACTTGTCATCAGGGAAATGCAAATCAAAACTACCATGAGATACCATCTTACACCAGTGAGAATGGCACATATTAAAAAAACTAGCAACAACAAATGTTGGCGAGGGTGTGGAGAAAAAGGAACTCTTCTGCACTGTTGGTGGGAGTGCAAACTGGTCCAACCACTGTGGAAAGCTGTATGGAGATTTCTGGACCTACTAAACATAGAGCTTCCATATGATCCAGCAATTCCACTCCTAGGTATTTACCCAAAGGACACCTGCACCCCTATGTTTATAGCAGCACTATTTACAATAGCTAAGCTTTGGAAACAACCCAAATGCCCAAAAATAGATGACTGGATCAAGAAGATGTGGTACATATATACCATGGAATATTACTCAGCATTCAAAAAAGATAAACACATGCAATTTGCAGCAACATGGATGGCGCTGGAAGGGATCATGCTCAGCGAAATAAGCCAAAAAGAAAAAGAAAAATACCGGATGGTCTCACTCATAGCAGGAATCTAGAAAACTTAAATAAGGGACCAGGAAAATGAATAACTACAAGAAAGTGAAAATCAAAATCAACAAAAAACTATGAACCAGAGACACTTTTAGGGGGGCGGGGGTGGGAGGGGAGGGATTGGGGTCAGAATGGGGGGGCTGCAATTGTATGGGGAATATAACAATAAAATTTATTTAAAAAAAAATAAAATAAAAAAAAAAATATATAAAAAAAAAAAAAGAAATATTTAAATGTATGTAAAAATGTCATCAATAATAAATGTTTCTCAAAGTTAAAAAAAAAAAAAAAAACAAAATTTATTCTTTCGTGATTTTCTGCAGTTTATGGCACGGCTACATATTTTTATTTATTTATTTTTTGCGTCTATTCTGTTTGGTGTTCTCTGAGATACTTTAGTTTGTGCTTTTATGTTTGACAATGATTTAGAGAAATTTTCAGTTTTTGCTTCAAGTATTTCTTCTTTTCCTTCTCTTTCTGATGTTTTCATTATGCATATCTTTTTTTTTTTTTTTAAGATTTAGTTATTTATGCATAGAAGAGCTGTGGTGTAGGCCAGAGGTGCAGGAGGGTGAGCAGATTTACCAGAGACAGAGTGGGGAGCAGAACAGGCAGATCTACTGTTGAGGGGAGCAGTGAACAAAACAGGAGAGGTCTACTGTGCCATGTGGTTAGCTCCCTGGCAGGGAATCAAACTTATTGCTGCTGCGGCTGCTGATAGCATCATAGTGCTGAGACTTCACCCCTCTCGCCACAAGGAAGACCCTATGCATATATCTTTTGTAGTTGTCCCACAGTCCTTGAATATTCTCTTTTATTTTTTTAATCTTTTTTTTTTTTTTCCTCTTTGGTTTTCAGTTTTGGAAATTTCTGTTGACATAACTCTCAAGTGCGTATTCTTTGCAGATTCTATGCAGTCTAATAATGAACCCATCAAAGGCATTCTTCATTTCTCTTAAACTGTTTTTGACTTTTGGCTTGCTTTTTGGCTTCCTCTTAGCATTTTCATCTCTATTGTTTACATTACACATTTATTTTCTTGTATGTTGTCTTTTTATTCATTAGCGTTCTTAGCATGATAATCATAATTGTTTTAAGTCCCAGGTCTAATAATTCCAACATCCCTTCCATGTCTGTTGCTTGCTCTGTCTCTTCAAACTTTTTTTTGCCTTTTAGCGGGCTTTAAAATCTTGTTGAAAGGTGGACATGATATACTGGGTGAAAGGAATTGTAATACGTAGGCCTTCAGCAATGTAATGGTAAGGTATGAGGTA